AATGAAATTTTTTGATTGCAAAAAGGTCAAATAATTGAACATGCGGAGTAATTTGAAATTTTTTTCGTTGTCACAAATTTTAATGTGTCTATTCAAGACGAAATAAGGCTGTGTTAGTTCCCATAATTTATTTGAACAAAAAATATTGGAGGAAAAACATTAAAAATTGATTTTTGTGTAAGACGTATTTACAGTGCAAAAAGGTCAAACTAAATGCTCTGTAGCGCCAAAAGAAGCGCATTGACCTCCATATTTTGTTTTGATTTTTAATTAAGCTATGTGTGTAAATTCTTAAAATATACTTGATAAAAAATTCTCATTACTTTTGGTGGCAGGATCCAACCTCCTTAAGAACTTCTTTGTAAAATAGGCATACATATGTTTATAATTAAAACACCGCACTTTATGCTATGTAAAAATATAATGAATTCTTCCACGTATATTTTTCACCGTATCTACATTTTATATGTAACTCATGGCACATGGATATAATGAAATTCGGTTTATTTGAAATAAATCTCAAGGTCCTTTAAATATATATATATATATATATATATATATATATATATATATATATATATATATATATATATATATATGTATGTATGTATGTATGCAAGACTCCAAAGTCCGATGGCGACGCCGAAGTCCCATGATCTCTCCAAACCCCTATGGTCTGCGCCAAACCCCGATGGTTTGTTGTCGGTACGGACGCCAAAGTCCGATGGTCACGCCAAAAACCGATGGCTCGTTTCCTATGAGACGTGCTGGGCTAAAGTGCGATGGTCTGACACGCCAAAGTCCGATAGTGCGGAGAAACAATCAACGTATATGACGTCACAATATTCCGACATCAATCCTTGACCTGCATTCGTCCTCGCATACAATTTTAATGATTTTGCTTATTGATTGCACCGACCAGTTGGTGCTTGGGCTTTCATACTTCACATATGTATTTCTTGTGACAAGACCATCCTTTGGATATCAAAAACTTTGACCTCTTGACCTTGGAGTTTGACCAACTTTGATTTTGAAAAACTTTGATCTAAGGTTTTCATACTTCACATGTGTATTCCTTGTGACAAGATCTTCTTTCGATTCCAACATCTTTGACCCTTTGACCTTGACCCTGGATTTTGACCTTCTTTTGAAAAACTTTAACCTTGGCCATATCTTTAAAACGGTTGGAGCTAGGGCTTTCATACTCCACATGTGCATTCCTTGTAACAAGACCTTCCCTTGGGCACCATATGACCTTGACCTTGAACTTTTACTTACTTTTTAAAAACTGTATCCTTCGAAATAACTTTTCAAAGGTTGGTGCTATGGTTTTCAAATTTCATAGATATATTCCTCATGGCAACACCTTTCTCTGGGTACCAACCTTTCTCTGGGTACCAACATTTTTTATCTCTTGACCTGGAGTTTGACTTGCATTTGAGAAACTTTAACCTTTGTCAGCTGCCATACGTGGGCAATTCAGTGATTCACAAACACATCTTGTTTTGTAATAAATATTGTGATTAAAACGTCCATGCTTTATGGAGCTGCAAGCAAATTTACACAACTTTAGAATTCTCAGGGTTAAAACTCTCACATTTGAAACTTTATGATAATTGTTGCTATCCGTTTACAGAAATATCAGTTGTTCAAATGTTAGTGCACATAGTAAAATTTACAGTGTGCATATATTATTGAAGAATGCCAATAGAGGTATGGTATGCAACAGTGCAATTCTTTTATAAAAGTCTTCTTGTTTTCGTAAAACGGAGAATCCTGAGCTGTAAAGAAAACAGTTTTTGAAAGGTTTCAAAACCTTAACAAACTGCGCAATTCAACTGAAATATATTATATCCTTGTGCAATTTCCCAACATGCATTTTAAATCAATGTATTGACTTTTTTCATGTAAAAATCATAATTGCATGAAATCTCATATCTTAGATAGAGCAAGAATCTTGAATGATTGTGTACAGCTGAATGGTATCTCTTAAATGTAGAAAATTATTCGTTGTTATATTGGAATGACACGAGTTTGCATGAGTCATATTTGAAAAGAATTCCAGCTTTTGATTAGTGCTCCAAATTCTAAAGTACAATTTTGTTACTTAAGATATTCGAATAGATTTTTAATATAGATTTTTAATAGTTGACTTTGTTAGTTGTCGAAATTCGGTACAAGAGTAAGACGTTGTTGTAAGGATTCAAGCCCTTGGCAAACAGCACAGACAAAGACGGTATATATCACTTAATCTATTTCCCACCATGCATTTTAAATGCATGTTTATTCCCATGTTGTTAAAAAAGACTTCTCTTATCTCTGATAATAGCACAAGAGTTCCCAAAATTGTACAGCTGAAAAAGTAGACAATTGACCAAAGACATTTTTGACAGGCTCTTGTTGACAAGATTCGAAATTTACCCGATTTTATCATTTTCTTGTATGTTGCTTGGTACGTGCATTATCCATATTTTCAACTGCAATGGCACATAAAGAATTATGTATAATTTAGAATATGTTTGACTTTCATTTATAAAAAGCTTTCAAAGGTTTTGAATTATTGAGTAATAAATGATAAGGAGACTCCTTTCAGTATTTTTACATTAAGATAAATTTTAATCATTCTATTATGCTAACCAGCCATGTGTTGTTAAAAAAAATTACTCAGGTTTGTAAACTTGTCTGAATACATATAAGGTCTTTTTTCTATAGGAGAGATTTTTTTAAAAAAAATTTAAACAATATTTTATTTTGAAATAACATTAAAATTCTGTACTGCAATCATTACCTGTATGCGTCCTCTACATGGTTCGAGGTCAAAGTCATACATGTGCAAGATAGTTACATAATATTGAAAAAATATGTTTCAAGTATACATGCACTTGCATGTATATGCCACAAGAAATGTGCAATCTACAAATTTACAGACATTCCATTAGATACATAGACACAATATTACTTTATATTATACATTTACTACAAAGCACAATACAATATATCATGTTAAACAATTATAAATTTAATATACTTACATACTGACATATTACTGATCTTTTAAAACATTTTAATTGCAGTATATTAATATGGCATCTATTTTTCCTACCTTTTTGAAATTCTTTGGTGTTTATAATAAAAATTAATTTAAAAACATTAGGTCTTAGTAGTAATTTTTAATAAACTTGTCTCCTAAATTACAAAAAACTGGACAAATAATATAAGTAAAAATATATTCCTCTTCAATATAATTAAAATATTATTTCTAAAAAAAAATAAAATACACTCTTTTTGGAAGAAGCACATTTGCTCATTATAAATATGCACTTTGTTTCCTGAAGACGCAAGAGAAGCGAAGATCTTCAAAGGAAAGACACATTTTTACTAAATAAAACCAATAGAGCTCTTCCTCACATCAGACCTCCTAACCATGGGGCCTCAAAAACAATATATCAAAATTTTGGTAGAGGCACCCTTGATCATTATTAAAGTGCATTGAGTTTGTCTGCTAGATACCCAGAAAGAAGATTTTCAAAGACCTTATGCATTTTCCACATGATCACTGAACTTTATGATCAATAGAGTCCCACCCTAACTCCAGAACCCCTGACCCTGGGGACACAAACTTTAAAAATTTGGTAGAGGGTTCAATGCTCATTACAATCTTGCCAAAGTTTGACTGTTTTATGTCCAGGAGTAAAAGAAGATTATAAAATATAGCACTATTTTTATGGTTTTACATTAGGTCATTAGGTCACATTGATGGTTTTACTTTAACCTTGGCCTTAACTTTTGAACAGTTGGTGCTTGGGGTTTCAAACTTTACATGTGTATTTCTTGTGACAAGACCTTCCTTTAGATACCAAACACTTTGACCCTATGACCTTGACCTAGGAGTTTGAACTACTTTCAAAAAACTTTAACCTTGGCCATAACTTTTGAATGGTAGGAGCTAGGGCTTCCATACATGTACTTCAGATATGTAATCCCCGTGACAATACTTTACTTCGAATACAAACCACTTTGACCCTATGACCTTGACCTAGGAGTTTGACCTTCTTTCGAAAAACTTCAACCTTGGCCATAAGTTTTGAATGGTTGGAGCTAGGGCTTCCATACTTCAGATATGTAATCCCTATGACAATAATTTACTTCGAATACCAACCACTTGACCCCATGACCTTGACCTAGGAGTTTGACCTACTTTCGAACAACTTTAACCTTGGCCATAACTTTTGAATGGTTGGTGCTAGGGCTTTCATACTTCAGGCATATAATCTTTATGACAAGTCCTTCGTTTGAATACAAACCACTTTACCCTTTTGACCTTGACCTTAAAGTTTGACCTACTTTTGAAAAACTTTAATCTTGGCCATACCTTTTAAATATTTGGTGCTACGGCTTTCATACTTCACATGTGCATTCCTTGGTACAAGACTTTCCTTTGGATACCAACAATTTTGGCATTGACCTAGACATTGGACTTTGACCTACTTTTAAAAAACTTTAGCCTTGGCCATAATATGTGAACGTTTGTTTCTAGGGTTTTCATACTTCACGATCATGTGTATCACTTTTGACAAGACCTTCACTAGGGGCCTTATTTGACCTTGACCTTGACGTTTTACTTACTTTTAAAAAACTTTAACGTTCGCCATGACTTGGGAACAGTTGGAGCTAGGGCTTTCAAAATTCACAGTTATATTCCTCCGTCATAAGCTGCCATACGGGATCATCAGTGTTTCACAAACACATCTTGTTTCTCTCATATTTTCATATAATATTCTTTTTTTTTTATATATATATAAATCTATTATATCGCATGAAGGCAAAAACTAGGGACTCATTCAAGAAAAAGAAAATTGAAATATTTTAAAATATTTCGAAATATTTTTCATTCTTATAGTAACGGCCACCACGCGAAAGTGATAATTTTTTTAATTTTTTGTGTTGTGTAAATATATATAAGATACACCGTGGACACTGTATCCTTTACTCTTTAACAGGTCAGTTATACAAACATTCAAAGCTTGGACGATGGACAGGAGTTGCTGTTAAAAGTGTACAGCTTGAATGTCGCCCCAGTGGAGAATCCAAGTGAGTTTTTAAGGATTACATCTGTTATTTCGGTTGATAGTACGCTGCCAATGTATAATACTAAATTAATTGATCTAATTACATCATCTATGTTTATTAAGTATCAATTGTACTACTTTTAAATTTTCTTTTTTAGATACCAAGGGCATCGATAATGACTTTTCAAAATGGTAAGGAGTTTACTGCAATTTGTGTATGGAGTGTTGCCAGGTCGTAAATTTTGTATTTACTGCCACCCGATAATTTCAAAATTTACAATATGACAATACTCTATACACAAGAAGCCTTATTCTTAAACTTAAGACAATAATTTTTGGGTCGCCATGGAAAGAAATCACAATATAGTACATTTGTAACTATATTTTGGAAAACCTGAAGTGGAGTGGGCGGGTAGGTGGGTTTATCAAGACATGTGATGTCGCTGGCATACAAAAATCTACCTGCAATCCTAAATCTTTTTGGACAAAAACTTTAATCAGTTCGCACATTCAAATATGGCATTACACTTTACAAAGTATTGTTTACATCACTTTACAAAATATTGTTATATTTTTAATAGGTTACTTTTTCATTACAAAAATATTCAGCAATTAAACCTAACCCTTGGTACCAATATATGTTTTACAATTATATGGTTAACATTTTATGATGATTAACATACTGTTTGTAGGCACAGTATTTTCATGTGAAGTGATGGAGAATTCCTTGTTTTAGTAATCTTAGCTGAATTTTGAATACACCAATTTAAAATCATTTTATTTAATATCATTCCCAAATGATTGTCCCGTTATATTTGTCAGATGTAGAGAAATGATTATATATATATATATATATATATATATATATATATATATATATATATATATATATATATATATATATATATATATATATATATATATATATATATATATATATATATTATACCTCTATTAAGAATACTCAAAGAGCTAGAGCCACGAACCATCGAAATGTGCCTTAACTCCAAAATTAATGAGAATTTCAATATAGATAGTATAGACTTTTAGCTTTTCATTACTGTTTTTCATTTTTAGATATCTATCATACTTTTTCAAGAAGAGATTTTACAGTATGGCATTGTTTTGATTGAAATTTGCATGAGGAACGTCATTATTTGTAACGTAACGTTAAATGCTTTACATCGTTACGTCGTTAATAGATTCCATTGCAATCATATAAACTATTACAAAAAACCTTAAGATTGGAATAGAGAAGTATCTGATCAGCATCATGATAGTTTATCAATATATTATAAAAAGAAGACCTGTGTTGATTTCATATTGCAATTTAAGATAACTGCTCGCGAGTGTAAACTGGTTGCATTATATCCTATAGTACATGTAAGAATAATCGGTGTCCCCTAGACTGTGTATTATTTTATGAAAGTACACATAAGTCCTAGTTATGTATAAAAGTATCTAATACTATAGACATATGACTTACTGCTACATACTACCTTAATTTCTGATAAAATAAATTCTGGAAAGCTTTATCTGATCTGGATAGAAATATAACCGCAAACACACGTTTTCATATGAAAGTGACGTCCAGTGCGGTAATTTTCAAATCCTCTTCCTAGCGAGAATCTGAACCTATAAAGAAATTCAAATTGAATTATTAGAGGAGAGTAGTTTTGTGAGTGTGAAGAACTTGTTTCCGATTCATATGTGCGTTTTGACAATGAAGTATATGTAAACAATTGAATGCCTCGCCGATTTCCTAAAAAAAAAATTTTTCTTAAATGGTCACCATGCTCATTCAATTGTCGCCCGGGAAATAAATAAAGTAAACAATGGAAATGAGTCTTGATCATCAAAACGCTTCGATATGTGTGAAAAAGGCATGCGTCTAAATGATGGAGACGATAGTCGAGAATATTTTGAAAACTTATAGTCGGATGAAAATCGAACAAAAACGATACCCTTTTAAACTTTATCAATTCCTCAAGTAAATGTTGGCTGCATAAAATTTAATTTGAAACCAGACACATGCATCGCCTATTTTCAAAAACTTTCACTTTAAGAATATAAAACACGAACTGTGTAAAGTACATTTTTACGTTTTTATGCGATAAGTAAAATTCGATGTTATAAAAAAAGGGACCTGTCGTTTTTTCGATAGTAAATGATAAGTAACTTTATATATTAAATATGAAAAACATATATATTTTTACAGATTCACTTTATGGAAGTAAATATATTGTGTATCTCGTAATTTATAAAGGGAAAGAACATTCTGATTAACAATCTTTTTAATGTTTAGAAAACCTTTAATTCTGAATAACTTCTCCCACCTCAATCCCCATATACCAAACTTAAACTTATATGTATAGAGCAGCCCGGTCCTCCGGGCTGCAATGAACACTGAAACCTAATTTTATTTCTATTATGGAAGTAATTCAATTAGTTCGCGAACTTTTTAATAACCCCTCGTATATATATATATATATATATAGAGAGAGAGAGAGAGAGAGAGAGAGAGAGAGAGAGAAGTTATGTTATTAAAATGAATACATTAAAAATGTTGAATATTGTAATAGATAATTGTATAAAACACAACATTTTGCCACTATTGCAAAAGCAGCATTTCTCGGTTTTTACTTTTCAATCAATCAATATTATGATTTGTATCTTTTTTCACAATACAGATTCACAAAATGTAATTACGCAGAATGTAATAATCCAATTTTTAATTGCATTTTCTGTTATTACATTTTGCGTTAATCTCCAAGCAAAATGTAATAACGCGAAACGTAATAATCCTAAAAGTTTGTTGTATCATTTTCTTTATTACATTCTTTTTTCATTCTTTATTTTCAAAAATACAACAGGAATTGGGATGAAATATCCTGAGATATTCCAGATTAATCCTCACCTATGTTACCAGGGGCCCATTGGATTTGGATATATTATATTATAGATGTGTCATATACATACAAACATAAACATACGTAAACATGTAATATTTTTTTAAATCTGAATAATAACATTTCTTTATATATCGTTATTACATTCTAAGTTGATCCCGAGACGCAAAATATACAATAACACAAAATGTAATAATCCCAGTTTATTACATTCTGCGTTCTTATTTAATTTTGTGTTGTAGGCTGTTTTAGGAAAAAAGTCCAAAAGTGGCGCACAAATTGCATGTATAGCTCTATGATCTACCGCATATAATTTTGTTCGAATTGTACAGCTAATGTAAAGCAGTTTAGTTTGAATGCTTGTACATCTATAACAAATTAGCTTTTTAAAGAGAGCTTAGAAAGTGAGCAAGTGAGTTTTTCTTTTTCTGTGATATGGTTTTAAAGCATTAGGAAACTGAAATTTTGTTGAAGGAAAATGTTTTCAGCATTTATATGCTTTCCATAGGGAAAAACATCAGAAAAACAAAGAATGACAGGAAATTCAAAGATTATTCAGTCACTTCAGAATTTTTCCATTAATATGAAAATATAAACATACAGTGCTTTCTGTTGCTAGTATATGCAAGAGTTTATTGCGTTTTAGTTCTTCAAAGAAAGGTAACTCAGGTATAAACAATGAAATTAAATTGGATTTTCCACAAAAATCAAAGAAAGGCTTTTTCATATGTTGAAAACTTAAGAGTTTCATTATCTGGATTGCTGAACTTCTCCTCCAAAAAAAAAAAAAATTGCAGAAATTCCAGCTAAAAAGTACATTTGTTCATTTGTGCATATTTTGCATTGAAAAACACCAAATTTTCATCAAAAGTTATCTTTTTGAAACCTCAATAATATATTCTAATTTTTTTGTCTTAGTACCTCTGATGGTACCTTCATTTTAGATTAAGAATATCTTGAAAAATTATATACAGGTATTGTATGGTGCGCATGACCATAAGATGAAAATCAGCATGATAAAAATGTTCGACTAAAATAATACTGATCATAATTTTAACTTTGTTATACGAAGTTTTCACAGTTTTATGAAATTTTAAGGTACAATAGATGAAAAGAGGGAGGATATGTAATAGGGTGTATATAAGACAATGAAAGACGGTTTATTAAATAGGGTATGTAAGTAGATTCACTCAAATCACAGCTCGATGACGAGCAATAATTAAGTTTGACGAGAAGGAAATTCTCTAATGAAAATTTGACTAAATTAATACTTAAATGTGTTTGTATTTGTAGGAGGGATTTAACTACACTCATGAGTGCTAATTATAAAGTTGAGTTTTACTTATAAAATCATTGAAATTCATAATCTTCTAGGGGTCTTCGCCTCACCTGGGTTCCCCAAAAGGGCTTGCCTCTCAAAAAAAAACGCACTCTTTAATCCTTATTCCTGGATCCGCCCCCAATAGAGCATCATCTCGGGTTTTCCGTCAGTGGTCGGAAAAAACACAGTTGTTTTCCGCTTGTCGGAAAGGCCCAGGAAGTTGCGATTCTTGAGTCACATAGGAATATTTTACTACCTATGAAGTATTTCTTCTGAATCAATATAAATCGGGGCAAAGTTATACCAGAAGTTGAAAGGCGAACTCTTATGTCGGGGTTAAGGAAGCTCTAAACACTAATGCAAAATGCTTTTTGGACTTCGAGAAAAATATATCATATAAGGTGCACATGTTCAGTGTATCTAGTTCATTTTTAGCATAGGGTACCTGTCTTATTTCTGCAGAAGAAATGTTCAAAGACAATGAACTATTTGTGAACAGAAATCACTGTTGTTTACTTGCATCGGTAATATTAATGGAAATAATGTATTCAATTACTTAATCTCGGTCTAACATAACATTAAGAATACTTTAATTCATGAGAAATTGTGCCATTTACTGTAGATTCCCATTTATTCTATTTTTCTTCTAAGGGCAGATCACTCTAACTAAATAAAACTACCCTACAAATAGAACTCTTTAGTGTGCAGTGTTTAGAGCGTCCTTACATCATGCTTTCTTTCAAAGAACGAAATTAATTATGCCTGAAAATAAATTTGTACTTGTGTCAACAAAACAGGTTTTCTTTTGTGATATCTACACGAGGAGTGGTGGATCATGTATATCACCCAAAGGGAGAAGAAGACGAAGTGGTGGCCACCAAGAAAGGTCTAGCTTCCTTATTTGCCGCCAAACTTCATGAATTTGGTGAGGTACAAGAATATAAATTAAAGTTTTTAAAATCTAAGCCAAAAGAAATTGCTGAAATTGATACTTTTTAACAGATATCATTACTGTATAATAAGACGGTAGGTTGTACAGTTGTCATCTTGGATTTCAGGGTGCGCCTTGGTTCACACATGATTTTAATCAATAATTACACTATAACGACCACGGTCGGGAGAGATCTAGCTTCAAAAATGATTGAATAATGCCCTTCAATCGTGTGAAACTAAATAAATGTAATTGAAATACAAATTCTAACTCATGTTTATCTTTGTAAACTACAACACGGAAAAAATTGATCAACAGTCCAAAATTTTGTGTTTTCTTTTCTTTACCTGTATGAAATAATACAAAATGATTCAAACTGTCATCATTTTAGAAAAGTTGTGCTATGTTACGAATGTTGATGAACTAGCAACCAGTAAGAATATAGCCAATATAGGTCACCAATATTGCATTAGAGAGACTCAAATCATCATTTAGTATCAAGAATGTCATGCATTTCTGAAAGTCTACTTAAAGTCTAAACTTAAGATAACATGGATTTGTATTAAATTTATAGGGACAAAGTGGAATGAAATACGATAGACTCTGAACAAGTCATGAATTGGAAAAAGGGGATACTTTTTTTATAAGTTGACTTAAACCTAATGCAGGTCTAGGCGGCCTCTGTTTTTGGAGGAAAGCTAGATTCAATATGGCGGCCAATTTTGTTTTACCATATGGAAACCGCATTGCATTGTGAGATAGTTTATCCTCCGATTTTTGAGGATAACACAGGAGATTTTCAAAAGCCCCGTATCTAGCTACTTTTAATAAAAATGTGCAAGCACCAGAGTACATGTAAATAAAAGTTCAAACATTAAACTATTGATTGTACGTGGCGATTTGAGATTCTATATCTAGAATTTTTACAATACGCTTCAAAGTTGACACTACTTGCGCTTCATTTTTACTTAATATTTCTTGGTATTTTGTTTTATTTTTATGTTTTTCCCTATCAAGACAAATAAATAAGGACTTAAATAATATTACTTTCATATTTTCTTTCAATTTAAAAATAGCGAGAAAAAAGGAAACTCAGAAGGAAAGTACAAATGTGATGTGTTAAAGGATTATTTATTAAAAGAAATAATAATTGATTTTTCAAAAAATTGTTTATCAAAATTTGCAAACATATAAATACGGTACCGGAAAATCAGCCTCATTATAAAATTTTATCGTCTGGGACAGGTAAGGGTACTCATTGATAACTAAACATTAAACTGAATAACTTACTGACAGTAATTATAAGAATAATGTTATATAGATTTAACATCTAAATTTATCCATCATCATATGAAATTTTACCTTTTTTTTGTTTTGGTTGAAAAATCAGTGACGGTTCATAAATGAAAGAGTTGCTTTATTTGTTTGTTTACGAGTTAACTGTCCTTTGTTTTGAAAGGTCTGGATGGTGGCGACACCTTTATCCTCTGTTTTCAGCGGATAAAATCTATCCTCCAAAAACGGAGGCCGCCCAGACCTGTTATATGTAAATGTAAGGCTTCAAAGAATAGTTAGCAATGAACACCTGTTGAAGTGTTCAGATAAAATTGAGTTAAAATGGCAGATCGATCTAGAGAGAGGTCATTTTTTTCTCTTTACTTTGCCCCTCCCCTCCTTTTTTTCAAACAAAATTGATAACAAAAAATAATAAATTATCATTTTCTACGTTAAAAAAATTATAAAAAGAAATCTGCAGACCGACACCTTGAGGTTAGATTTACAGATCTAGAAGAGTACCACATGTGGATACCAAATGGTATTTTTAAAATAGGGTCTGTATCTAAAGTTGTAAACTTAGCGACCGTAACAACTTTAAAGACAGTTCTGATGACAACCGTCTCTGGACGAAACCGGTCAACAAAATAAATCTACTGCTACATTCTCACAAAGTGATGGTGATCTGTTTTATGTCTTTAAGTCTTTAAATATTTTTGTGTTGATAAAACAACCAAGCATTTACTGAGTTTGAATACTTTAAATTAATTAAGTATTAAACACTGCCTTTCTGAGAGGTCTTGTAATCCTGGACGCCTCAAATTCTCTTATTGCCTTTGTCTAGATAATACTTGATGAAACTAGAAAAACGTGTCAATTTTATTTACATTTAATTTCATGATTTACATAGATAATTTTTCACAGAAAAAGACTTATCTCTAACACATCATTTGCCAATCAAATAGAAAGTATATGGATATTTATTCACAGCACGGTAGTTGAAGGTAATTAATTTAAGGCAACCAATCAGAGCTGAGTTAGGCACATGAACAGAATTTTGTAGTCATCATTTCTTAAATATAATGTTAAAGTACAGAAATATGTTTTAATACCAGAAAAAGTTATCGTGCTTTGTACTGACTCTCCGAAAGAACACGCCCGTCCAAAATAGCAACACTATCCCTTAGCTACTTGAAGATCCTTCAATTAGCCATTGCTTTTTTATTTAAAATAGGTTAAAAAAACAGTCCTCTTACTTGGCAACATCTTTAAGTTTTACCAATGAATTAGAACTTTTAATAATAATACATTATAAAGTGCTTAATATTTATGTTGTTTAAGTTACACATTTTTCTTCTTCAGATTCCTGGAAATAGAAGCAGTGGTGCTTTTACTTACCATATTTTTGAAAATGGAACTGAAGGTTTGTCCTCATATACAGAGAAAGACTGATTCTCATGATTACAAAATGAAAGACAGTATTACACATAGAATGCATATGCCTAAAAATCTTAAAACAGCATACTGTGAAATTATTAATTTTTGTGAGGGTAAAAATTCTTGTGTTTTTGTGGTATGGAGACACTCACAAATTCATATGTTTCAAACAAAATGTTAAAATTTTAAACTACAGTATCATGTTTCTTCATCTACTACAAAATCAAATACCCTCAAACCAATATCTTTAACTCAAACCAAAAAAAAATCTCTTACCCCATGAGAATAAATGATATACATGTACAGTAAAAGAAGGTCTGAATTGTAGCTTGATTTTGAATATTTCTTATTATTCAGAGAGATATATTAAATGCCTGGTTTACAGAGAATTCATATTTAATGATAGGAGGGCACAATGCTACATACATGGTATCTCCAGTGAAAGAGGGTTTAGAGTTCAAAAAGACAAGGCTCCAACATCCTGTGAAGAATGCAAAGGCATCATTTCATAAGGTAAAATTATCATACAAATAAAATAAAGACTTACATATGTATTATAATGATTATCTTCAAACAATCTGGTTAAAGACTTGAAAATGCAAGAGATTTACTAATAATGACAAGGATGGGTGAGAATGTCTCATTAGCATATTACCCTTTTGCTTTTGGTTCAATATGGCCTTAAACAAGGCAGTGTCCTTATCTAAATTTTGTTTAGTTCATGTCCTATTTGTATAAAATGGATCCACAATACAGGGACAAAATTTTACTTTCTGGATTACTTTAAGAACAGTGGTTTACATTTGTAAAGTTTATAAGTAGATGTTCCCATGTAAAGTTGCTTCCACTTGGTTCAGAATATGACTGTTGGACTTTTACCTACAGTATGGAAGAATATCTATTCAATTTTTACTTAAGACATTTACTGATTTGTTTTATATATTTTCTCAATTACAGATGACACTTTCATTCAAAAAATTTACTGATTTAGTTTAAACAACAGATGACATTTGTAGAGTTGATCTATAAAATTTGTGATTACTTTATAATATGCTATTTTTTTTTAAATTTTAGACTATGATCTACCAAGCCTACCTTGAAACTATTCATAGTGTGCTTATTGAAGAAAATTTTACATCTCCTAAAACACCTCCAGGGTGAGAGATAGAGAGCATTTATTTCAAACTTTTAATATAGTTAAAATTGCCATATTCACACACAGTATTAAGGAAGATCTAAACACCAACAATCAAGAAAATTTAAGACTTTTGATAGAAATATATACTACAGAATTTACAGGATCACCTTAAGTACCAAAAAAACCTACCAGAAGGCTCTTGCATGTAGTGTTTAAAGCTTCCTTAAGAGACTAACCACTGCCATATGTGACCGTAAAAATCCCTCTCAAGGAATTACCCTATACATTGTACCTGCATTGGAGGACTCCCTGTCAGATTCTACAGTGATTTTTGCAACTTTTGCCAATGATTTTGTGCAATTATACTGTGATTTAACAACTTTTAAATATTTCAATATAGGTCGAGCATGTCAAGATTGTTGGTTCAGACCCGTGTTTATATTAGTTTTCAAATCGGTTGAAAATCAGAATCGTTTAAAATGGGCAGCATCCGTTGACTCTGATCAACTGATAATCGACCAATAATCAAATCGTTAACCATTTGTATAAAATAGGCACTAAACTTTATATATATCATAGAAGAAAGTAAAAGTGTATCACACAGTTTAAAATTCTAAATACAGAATGCAGTTTGATTAACAATTTCAGTAACACAGATTTTTACATGATTAAGATTTACTTTAAAAAAAAAACAAGTATTGACAGAGTTTTAATCAATGTGATCACCTAGAATATAATTAATTTTTTTTACTACACAGTAAATAAAGCAAATCCGCATGACCCATGTGATTTCATTTAAATGAAAGTGAATTTTCCTCCAAAATTTTGATAACCAATTTATTTAATTATACAATCAGTTTTGTTTCTTCAGCTTAGAAATACAATATCATTGTAATCATTATCTATTTTTTGGAAATTCAAGCGTAGTTGTCCTTATCTGTAAGAAAACCAGCTTACTGTATCAAAGCAGATGATATGATAAACAACAAATAAAAAAATATTTATGGCAGAATTATGATAATTTTTTTTTCTTGAAATAAAAGCGTGAAAACAATGAAAAAGATTAGTGCTGTATTATACTGATTATAATCAATTGTTAAATCTCTAATCGATTGCTCAGAATTGATGAGCTTTCCGATCGATGATCGATTATTAATCAATCATCGTGACAATTCATTTAAAAAAATTATATATTGCGGGTTTTACAAGAAAATCAGCAATTCAAAATTGAAAAAAATATTAAAATTTTAGATATTAACATTCTCATCTTAAAGCACCAATTTTGAAAATATAGGTTTAAGATCTATTCCGATTATACATATAGTATTTCGATCATAAACGTTATCCAATTTGTTCTATATATAAGGACCAACTGGATGATAACATGAGTAAAGCTGGTATATTTTATCTCAACTTCAAACTAAATCTTTTGGGGGTTTTAAGTGGGTCATGTCACTGTTAGATTATGTAAACACATTTATGGTACAATGCAGCTAGTTCCCTCACCGGATATTTATTTTTGATGTAACTGGTGACAAATAAACAATCAGAGTTAAAATTAGTCATAAGAAATATTTAAATAGATTGAATATGTTTTTAGTCGTAAATAATTTTATTTGTCTCCAAATGCAAAAATTGACAGTTTTAATTCTTTACTCAGAGCAAAACATGCAAAGTTATACATGCACATGTATATCATATAAAACAATTTTATTTATCATGACTTTTTTTCTATCGTGAAAAATCTTAACAGCAATTTTCTTTTTGTGTGAAAAAAATCTCAAATATACAGAAGCCCAATACTCACCGAAAATCAAATGACTTTTGTTCAGAATAATTGCTCCCCAAAATAGACAAGGAATTTGCAGTTGATCAATACGTAATATATATATATATATATATATATATATATATATATATATATATATATATATATATATATATATATATATATATATATATATATATATATATATATATATATATATATATATAATTATATGAAATCAAATAAATTTGAAATATTTTCCATTGTTCATTTGTTTCTAGAATAAGTGTATTTATTTGAACTGTGGAATATAAGCAATCAGTATTAAGAAAACACCTGCCATATGATGTGACCTTTCTCCTTTGGATGGTCTCTTAATACAGATTTGACTGTACTTTATTTCCTTGTACTTTAAGATTTGATCCATTTCATGGCATGAGAAAGGTAAAGGCTGTAAACGACTTTAGTAAAGAAGGTAATTTGTAACTTTTTATGTGCCTGTTTAGATTAATATTTAATTCAATGCATAGTTAAGAATTTATTTTGAAAAATGTGGGAAACTATTGCATGTAAGAGAATAACGCTTTTCTACTTATGTATGTTTATTGTAGAGTATCCTACAATGTCTTACACAAGTCAAGGAAAGCTTAGTTTCCTAACAAGACACGTGGACAAGAGAAAATGGATGAAGCCAAGTGAACAACTTCTGAAATCACCAATACATATTGGCACTGTAAGTGTCTTCTCTAGTTGAAATGTCCAAGAAAGGATAAATATGAAGTGTGATTTCAGGATTCACCCGTTATGCAAAATTAATTATTCCACGTTTCCAACTGTCGTTGTTGTCCCTGGCATACCCAACAAACTACACTGTGATTCCTTATATTTACATTTATATGTGAAATAAAAGTGCTAACAGAAAAACATGTTGTCTAATAGTTTAAAATTATGGCAAGCCCTTTTACTATTTATTCGTAAAAAAATTTTTCACTCAAAATTACAGAGATATCTCTTATTTTAGAGAGATATCTCTTAAAAAACAGAGATATCTCTCAACTTAAAGAGATATCTCTCAACTTAAAGAGATATCTCTCTAAGAAAGAGATATCTCTTTCACTTAGAGAGATATCTCTTATACTAAGAAAGATATCTCTTTCACTTAGAGAGATATCTCTTTCACTTAGAGAGATATCTCTTCCACTTAAAGAGATATCTCTTTTCCTTTGAGAGATATCTCTTTCGTTAAGAGAGATATCTCTTAGCGTTAAAGAGATATCTCTTTCACTTAGAGAGATATCTCTTTCACCTAGAAAGATATCTCTTTTACTTTGAGAGATATCTTTCCAAGTTTAAGAGATATCTCTCAAAGTAAAAGAGATATCTCTCTAAGTTTATCTTAAGAGATATCTCTCAAAGTGAAAGAGATATCTTTCAAAAGTGTCCAAAAGAGATATCTCCCAAGCAAAAAGAGATATCTCCCAGGTAGCACAAAACATTTCCAAAACATTTTATTGCAGTTATAAAAAAGTTTTTTCAAAACATTTCAGAGTAAACATTTTTAAAACGTTTTAAAAACATTTTTCTTTCCCATTGTAACATTTTAAAAACATTTTTACAATGTTTTCAAAAAGGTTAAAGTAAAATCTTTAAGGAACATTTTAAAAAATGTTTTTGAAACGTTTTAAAAATGATTCCAAAGGTATGTCTTGTTTGCATATATTAAACAGTTTCATATTACGTTATAAAAATGTTTTTAAAACATGAAATAAAACATTCCTCTTCTATATATATGAAACATAGTAATGTTACGTTTCTAAAACATTTCGAAGGAACGTTGTCAAAATGTTTTTAAAACATTCTTAATATTGCTTATAGTTTAATATTTAAATGTTTCAGTGTTGGTCGTGAAAATGTTTTTAAAACATTGAACAAAACGTTTTCTCCTCCTACAACTGAAACATTTTATTTATAATTTATGCAACATTCTATAGAAACATTTTCAAAATATTTTTAAAACATTTATATCATTGTTAATATCAATGCATTTGTTTATTTTCAAAGTATGTTGTAAAAATGTTTTTAGAACATTGACTATAACGTTTATCCTTTCAAAGACTAAAACATTTTATTTAGCATTGATGCAATATTTTGTAATGTAATTTTCAAAATGTTTTAAAAATATTCAATTTTTCCCGAGAAAGTTTCTGAAAAAAAATATATAGAATATCCAGAGAGGATTGAGATTAAATGAAGAATTGTTTTTAAAAATGTTCCAAAAACATTATCCCTGTATTTTTCTTTCCTTTTTTCAAAAATTCTTATTGAGTTGACAGACATGTAATCAATATAAGGTTCACTGAATAAACTAAAGATACTTTAGTTTAAAAAAGAAAACAAAATAATAAGCAAACTGTTACAATGATTAACACGGCCTGATTTTTGACGATCTCGTCTGTTTGCATCATATTTCCTACACGCCAAGGCAGCAGATTAGGAGTGGCCTGGTCAGTTTCAGTGTCATGATAACCTTGTTATGCAATTCTCCTGCTGGGCAGCGCGTTAGAGTGTTCAGTGGATTGCAGCTTATCTAGGCCAAAATTTGAATTCTGGTAAACAGGATGTGCGCGTTTTCTTGTTGCTGATTTTCAAACAAGATTTTTGCATCATATAAGCCAGAGGAATTAGCGCTGGATTATTAACACCTGCCTTGTGAGTATAATTTCATCAGAGATTTCAAAAGATAATTTTTATAAGTGACTTTTCTGTTACCAGTACATCATTGTATTTTTGTATGCATATGTGTAGCAAAAACAAAGCTATTATGCATTTGAACTGAATAGTTTAGGCAACAACAAATATACCTCCTTGTCTTATGTTGATCACAACTCTTTATATCTTAATACTGAAACATGAAATCATATTGCAGTTAGATGACAGTTCCATCAACAGACTTGAATTTCATTCAAATTGCCACATTTGGAAGAACCGCCACTAGCTGATAAAAGCAACTCTTTGGTACGTAAATATAATTGCTCTTAAATAATATTATTGTGTTTTAGTTATGAACATGCAGCAACTCTAATTCTTTTCACTAATGTAAATGGGAAAATTTCTTGTGATTTTAAGATTTAAAAAATGTTCTTGTATATTTTCATCATTTAAAGATCTGATGTAGACGGATGGCTTAAACACCTTTATCTCTATGTTTACAGGTTCTGCTTTACAGAAGAAGAGCTTCTTGATTCAATTCAGGACAGACTTCTTGTGAACTTGATCAATGTGTGCGATTCCATTTATATAATAGATCCGCCGCTCTGTGGAACTTACACATGTACATGTAGATACATGTTTTTTGCGGGATCGTAAATGATAACAGTGATCTAAGCCTGTTTATTCTTTTTTGTGTGAAGGATTTATGTGATTCTGTTGTTTTTTAAATTCAGAGAATGGATTTTTATTCTTTAAAAATACCTGTTGGGTTAAAACAGAATAACTCAGAACTTGTACCGGAAATGGAACTATAATATGTTTTTCATATTAAATAAGGATTTGTATTAAAATTTGTAAAAAGTGAATTCATTCAGTTGTGATTAATTCTTTGAGAGTTATAATTAAGATGAAATGTATGAAAAGCCATTTTAAAGTCATACAAATTGATGTTGATATCATTTAATGAAAACGTAAAGTGACATTTCAGGAAAGAAACGTCATTGCAACATTTGGGTAAAATGTTTTAAAAACGTTTTAAAAACCATACAAAATCATATGAATAAAACATTTTCGAAAATGTTTTAGTAACATTTAAGGAAAATGTTCTGATAACATTTGCTGAAACATTTTGCTAAAATGTTTTAAAAACGTTTAAAAAACCATACAAAATCACGTGATTAAAACATTTTTTAAAAATGTTTTCGTAACATTTTATAAAATGTTCTAATAACATTTGCTGAAACATTGTGCTAAAATGTTTTAAAAACGTTTAAAAAACCATACAAAATCACGTGATTAAAACATTTTTGAAAATGTTTTTGTAACATTTTGAAAATGTTTTTAAAACATTTTAAAAATGTTTTTGTGCTAGCTGGGCTCTTTACTGTAAAGAGATATCTCTCTACATTATTTTTATTTAAAAAGCATTTTTAATGACTTCTCCCTTTGCCGGAAGTAAGCTTTATATTCACGGAAATGCATTAAATCAAAACGAAAGTAGAGACGAGAAAGTAGAACATGTGGTGTTTTAAGGTATTTGTGAGCAAATTACTGACTTCTAGGTGTAACAATGACCCCAAGGTGCGACACAAAAAGGGAGCTGTCCTTCTACAAGTGCTTGATCAACTGATTTAATTGAAAGAAGTTCAGAGTAAGAAACTTAGCCGATCATGAAACATCGTAAACGTATCACAGGGGCTTGCTCCCGAAATGTAAACAATATAAATTAAAAATATATAATACGTTTTAAAACCCATCGTGATGACTGATACAATTTAGTAGATCTACAAATATTTCTTTCTTTTTATTTACATTGTTTACATTCCGGAAGCACCCCCCTGTGATCGTTACCTGCATACGAGTTGGATACCTTATGTTATTAATATACTATCATACTATGGGTTAAAAAGTATTACAGAAACAAGTGCCTGTGGAAAGCGAGTAGACCATTTGATTCTGAAAGGGGGAAGTGACTTGCAGATTTTGGAAATAAATAATCTGAACCTCAAAATGTTGAAAACATAATTTGTCCTTCTCTCCCCCCCCCCCCCCTTGTATGTCTGAGTGTAAGGGGGGGGGGGGGTTAAAATGTTATAAGTGAAGAAAAAATGTATATAATTTTCTGTATTTATCATCTTGAAAGTAGTTAGTTTGTCCTTCACTGGTATGGAAAGAAATAAGCTGACTTGAAAAATAGCCCTCTATCCCCCCCTTCTTAGAATGAAATGATTGTTCCCTTAATTTTGAAACATATTTAGCTTTCCTGTGCTGAAGGCTGAATTGAGCTTTGAATTCTGATCTAAATTTGTGGATCAAATGAACGATATTCAAATTAAAGGTCCCGCTCTCTTTCAATAGGAGATAATAGATAATTACTAATTAGTGAAAATTTTATGACATATTTGATAAATGTAAATCTTTCTCAAGAACCACTGGGCGAGGTGAGTTGAAACTTATGTGCAAGCTTTATTATATAGTGTAGATTCACGATCATTCATAGCTTAATTGACCCTCTAGGGTAGTATGGGGCAACAATGGGTGATCAAGTTTTACATTAGAATATGTAGGAATTTTTTATAGAATCTTCTCAATCAAGCTAGGGCATAATTGTTCATACAGTAAAATCTCATTATCTCAAACTCGATTGGACCAAGAAAAAACTTTGAGATATCTGAGGATTCAAGATATCAAGGGTATATTACTTAAACAATAAGCAATTGGGACTTCGACATATCCATGGTATTCGAGATATCAGTGTTCTCGATACTGAAGTTCAACTGTATTTACATGGAAGCATTAGGTTGTGTATTGTACATTCAATCAAATTTGTTCAAATTATGACATGGGGGGTATGGTGGGGCCATTATGAGCAATTAAAGTTTTACAAAGGAATATATATGGAAACAAATCTTTAAAAATCTCTTCTCAAGAACAATAAAAAGATAAGTAATATTTCTAAGGAAGCTGGGATCCTCATGTCTCCAGGGGCTAGGGTTGAGCCAGCTAGAACAGGCAAAACAATCA